CCGCCCCGCCGTGGCTGCCTCAGCCCACCAGCTGGGACCGCGAGCCATGCTGCCCGCCGCCCGCCCCCAGGGCTGTTAGAGCCAGACTGCGAACTCTCACCACTGCCGCCACCGCCGCATCCCGTCCCACCGTCGCGGGCAGCAGCCAAAGCCGCCCCAACTGCAACACAGAGCGGGCAAGGCCAGGCAGGCCATGGGGCACTGGGCGCTGCTGCCCGGCTGGGTTTCTGCTACACTGTTGCTGGCGCTGGCCGCTCTGCCTGCAGCTCTGGCCGCCAACAGCAGTGGCCGATGGTGGTAAGTGAGCTGGTGCGGGGTCGCCACTTGTCTGGGGCGCAGAGCCAGGGGCCAGCCCTATCCAGCTCCCACGCTCTGGGATCCGTCCGCAGACAGGCTCCCTCCAGCGCTCGGACTTCCCTAGGAGACACCGAGGGGCGCTCTGGAGCGGAGTTTGCTCCAGAAAATCAAGCTCTGCTGAAGTGGGGTGAATGGTCCGGCCACGGCAGTCCGCGATATTCCAGAGGGAGCCCACTCCCTTCTAGCACCGCCCTCCTTCCATGAGCCCCAGACCCAGGCTGACGGTGGCAGTCACGCCACAGGTTTGCCTGCTCCAGGAAGTGAAAGGCCAGGCGTGCTTAGAAAGGAGACAAGAAGAGGGTGGGACTCCTGAGCATTTCACGCCTTGGGTGGGCATGGATTGCAGGCCAGCATGTCTTCGCCAGGCTGCCCGGAACAGGCTCTGAGAGCCAAGGTGGACATCTATTTTCCGGGTTCCCCATGCTTCCCCGTCCAGTCACCACACCCAGGGCCCCTAGCACCCCTAGAACTCTCGGTCTCACCAAAGTCTGGACGATCAGTCCTTTCAATCTAGCGAGCCCAGGAGAGCAGAGTCATTACCTTGTTATTGATCTCCCGCCGCTCTTTCCCCGACAACTAGCTCCAGAAACACAGCAGGGTGGGAACGACCTTTTTGGTTAGGGGAAAGGTCCCTCTTCCAGAGCCTGAGCTATCATGCGTCTCACCAGGGGCATCGTGAACGTAGCCTCCTCCACGAACCTACTGACCGACTCCAAGAGCCTGCAGCTGGTGCTGGAGCCCAGTCTGCAGCTGCTGAGCCGCAAGCAGCGGCGGCTGATCCGCCAGAACCCGGGGATCCTGCACAGTGTGAGTGGGGGGCTGCAGAGCGCTGTGCGCGAGTGCAAGTGGCAGTTCCGGAACCGCCGCTGGAACTGCCCCACGGCTTCGGGGCCCCACCTCTTCGGCAAGATCGTCAACCGAGGTGGGTACCCAGGAAGGCGGCGCCTCCGGGACTAGGGGAACTCAGGGTCACCCACAGGGCACGGGTGGGCGAACGCAGGGAAGATGTCCCAGGCTGCGGCAGGGGCACACCATCAACTGGCCGGGAGCTTTACGCTCGGCGCCAGCTCTGCACCAAACTCAGCCCACCAGACGCGTTCAAGCCGTACACCTCGGACGCGAAGCTTAACTTTCCCAAGTCACTGCCTCAGAAACAGGGAGTCCTGAATTGTGGCCGCTGACCGCTGACCGCTGGCCGCTGGCCACGGTCGCTTTTCCCCAGCCCCTGCTCTCTGCAGGGGTGCGTCTTGCCTCCAGCCCAGCAAGGCTTGCTTTGCCGACACGGGCCGAGTTTGGGCTGCAGAGAGGTGTCGGCGGTGCAGAGTTCCTCCGCTCCCCTTTCTTCATTATTGTTGTTGTTGTTTTCTTTCTGGGGTTGCCCCACTTCCACGGAGGAGCCAAAATGCGCGCTAAGTCTCTAAAGCGTGAGGACAACTGTGGACGTGGTGGCGTGCCCACGCACGTGCTTTCCCGAGGAGGCCAGCTTCCCAACACAGCCCACCGCCTGGACGCCCAGGGCGGAGGCGGGGCGGCGGGCTCCAGGGTCCCCAGCTCTCCACTGAGGGTGCTCGCCGCACCCTGCACCCTGCGCGGCCCTTCGCTGATCCCTGATCCCTTCCCCCACAGGCTGTCGGGAAACAGCATTTATCTTCGCGATCACCTCTGCTGGGGTCACCCACTCGGTGGCTCGCTCCTGCTCCGAGGGCTCCATCGAGTCCTGCACGTGCGACTACCGGCGACGCGGGCCTGGGGGCCCCGATTGGCACTGGGGAGGCTGCAGCGACAACATCGACTTCGGTCGCCTCTTCGGCCGGGAGTTTGTGGATTCCGGGGAGAAGGGGCGGGACCTGCGCTTCCTCATGAACCTTCACAACAACGAGGCGGGCCGAACGGTGAGCCGACTGAGGAGCTCTGCAACCGACGCGGAGCGGCAAGGGACTGCGCAGGGGCTGACCGCCTGCTTGGGAAGTAACGGTTGGCGATCAGGCCAGGACTCAGGGCAGAGAACCAGGGGAGCGCATCCTGAGGGAGCGGGGCGGGGGGGGGGGGACGTGGAGGGAAGCCTGAGAATGGAAGCGTTAAGTGGCAGGAGGCACAGGGGTGCCTGGTAGAACCGAAGAGGTTAGAAGTCATGTAACCCATAGAAATCATTGCCTACTGGCTCCTCCACTGTCCAGATTCAAAAAGTAAGGCTGAAAGGCCAAGACAGCGTGATATCCAAATCCCTGCGGGACGTTTCCTGCCTCCCTTCCCCTGGGCGCGGCGCACGGCTGGGCCTGGCCCTGTGCTGAGGTCCCAGCGGCGCCCGGGAGGAGGCTGTCATGGGGATGG